GATTGTGCACTTTCCATTTTTGCAGTTTTTGCTTATGTTTGATCTTCAAGTGTGCATTTTTCGTTTGGCATGGATCTTGGTCTGCATGTTCTGCTTTGGTTTACTTTTGATCTTGGTGTGCACTTTCCGCTTTCTTTTGTACTTTTGGCTTACTTTTGATCTTGGTCTGCACTTTCCGCTTACTTTTGCACTTTTGGCTTACTTTTGATCTTGGTCTGCACTTTCTGCTTACTTTTTGCACTTTTGGCTTACTTTTGATCTTGGTCTGCACTTTCCGCTTACTTTTGCACTTTTGGCTTACATTTGAATTTGGTATGCATTTCCACTTACTTTTGCACTTTTGGCTTACATTTGAATTTGGTATGCACTTTTCGCTTACTTTTGCACTTTTTGCTTACTTTTGATCTTCAGGTCTGCACTTTCTGCTTACTTTTGCACTTTTGGCTTTTAATCTAAATGGTCTGCACTTTCTGCTTACTTTTGCACTTTTGGCTTACTTTTGATCTTGGTCTGCACTAAAAAATTCTGCTTACTTTTGCACTTTTAGCTACTTTCGATTGTGGTCTGCACTTTCTGCTTACTTTTGCACTTTTGCTTACTTTTGCACTTTTCCCTTACTTTTGATCTTGGTCTGCACTTTTCCCTTACTTTTTCCACTTTTGATTTTGATCTAAATGGTTATAATGTCAGAAGTCTGAGGGCTTTTAAGATAAATTGTCAAAAAAGACTTTTATTTATGATGTTATGTACATTAAGGGCTTAGTTTCTGGTCATTCAAAATTTTTGATTTATTGACACGTGTAAATGTGCCATACAAACAGTAATCATGCCATTTACACTCTAACATAGGCTTATTATAAGCTTCTTTAAGACCTTATTATTACATATATATATATATGTGAAACAAGAAAGCTACAGCTACATATATGTATGTTTTAATTATATTTCCATTAAGGAGTGGTAGTAACTTGTAACTAGATTTTCTCCCTGGTGATGTAAATGTTAAAGCCAGACATAGTTTGCAATTAAAAGAAAATGAATGAAAGTGTTAAATTCGCAAAGCATTCTGTTACAGAACTTCTTTTTCCTTTTCCTAGATATATTATTAACTGGACATGAGATGGGAAATGTTCTTGACAATTTTTCTTCTTACGAGAATGTTGAACCGAAATAGGTTTTTTCTCTCATTTTGAGAAAAATTTAGACAACAGATAATAGTACATTGTCTGTCATCATAGTCATTGTCTCTTATATTTTTGATGGATATGATTTTCTACCAGTAAAAGTACAATTAGGGATGTCTTAAAAAATCAATGTCAGTTATTTAATCTTGCTACATGAGAATAACATATGACAAAATCAAGTCTTAATCTTTAGCTTTGCTAGTGGCAATAGAATATAGCCGCCCAGACCGCCCCTGCGAGAATTCCATGAATAATTCATGAACTGTTCATGAACATATTCATGGACAAGTTCATGAATGTGCATGAACAACAAATGAGACTTTTTTTCGTTCACGGACAATTCATGAATCAAGATATTCATGTTCATGAATATATGTTCGTTAACATTCATGAATATATCGATTCATGAATTGTCCATGAAAGAAAAAAAGTCTCATTTGTTGTTCATGCACATTCATGAACTTGTTCAAATGCACATTCATGAAATTGTTCATGAATATGTTCACGAACAATTCAAAAACTTCTCCCAGGGGTCATAATAATGTGACATCACAATCAATTTTCATTTAATTCTAAGACTGCTGATTTGTACCAGCCATAAAATGCACAATAGACAGTGTTTTAGTACAAATACAAAACACAACAGCCCATTACACAGGTAATGAAACTTGTTAAACACTGTGCTCATTGATTCCCTATGTACAAATTGAATTGTCATTAGAATTCACGACTTGCCAGTTTGCTCTTCAATTTATTTCTTTGACACAATTTTCCATAAGATTTTATATAGTCCATTATGTAAATACATCACTTTTTCTTCATTTTGCTAAGTCATTGTTATTTATTCCATTTTTAAGTAAGTTTGCACCGAAAATTTGTTAAAACACATGTAGAGCTTTGTTTCTGGCGGCCATGTTGACTTTTGCATTATGGGTGTTACCAAGGTCAGCCAACTCTTGTTGATGATCAGTGAGTTCATGAACTCACGAGAGTTCATGAACTGAAATTTTTCAGTTCATGAACTGAAATTTTTTCTAACACTAAAAAGTATTCACATGGGTTAAAATTGTAAAGACATTAAATTTGTTTTTAAAGTTCATGATTATTGTCAGCTTGTTCATGAACATACCAAAATGTTCATGAACACATCAACATGATCGTGAACAGACATACATATTCATGAACTTGAATGTTCATGAATATTTGTTCATGAACATTTCTGCCAAGATGATGAACAATTGAAAGATGTTCATGAATATTCATGAACTGTTCATGAAAATTCATGAATTGATGAACATGCTTTCGCAGGGGCAACAATACCACACCAAAATCAGCCTGCGCATCTTATCATCAGGTCTGCACTGTGTTCACTATTCATGGCTGATTTTGAGGTCCACACTGGTTGTAATTAGATAGACTCAGTAGCCACCTTAATTAAACTACATGCCTGAACGGTTAAACCTTCCATAATAAGTGTTATGGAATTTTCCTATTTACACTACTACAGTCAAAGTAAATACTGGAAACAATATTGGCTTTAAGTTCTCCACCTGGTTGTATTTGCTTGCACTTTTTTAATGTAAATTCAATTATTAAATAACTAAATATTTGCGCCACTTGCTTTTAGTTATGTTTGTAAAACTGGGTAGAGTATAGCCCAGTTTTGACTAATTAACTCGTCATTCTGAGAAGTACTTTTGATGAAATCGATATTATATTATCATTAAGGGTTAATTTTGATGGTAAATTGAAATCACCGAAATAATTATACACTCACAGATTAATTTCTTCTACCTAAAAGGTGTATTTATGAAATCGTAATGAAGTTATTAATAAACACAATGAGGATGGAAGCTTAATCCTAGGAAAGATTCTTTCTAATTCCATTTTATATTGTTGAACTTGATATATGTTTTTGTATTGTTATATATACATGAGAAATATGTTTTTGTATTGTTATACATACATGAGACAATTAAATTTAAATTAGGTACTTGTGTTACAGCCTACAGGTGGTATGAATTGTCTTATTTTAACAGAATCAAAACATTTTCATATTCAAATATGCGTTTTTCATAGTGATGTTCTTTAAATTTATTATCATACACTATAGTATGTTGCAATAAATATGGATTCTTTGGGCTTCAAAATCCTAGATTAGAATTTATCAATTAGTTAAAAATGTACAACCTAAAATTGTCCAAATCATACAGGCTATATTGTGCAGCCATGCCATGCAGACACAGGCTAAGTTGTGCAACTAATTATTATAGACTCAATCACACAGGCTAAGTTGTGAAACCATTTTACTATTAATTTGAATCTCGCCTTGGGTGTTGAAATCTGTGTTTCAGGTGGTTCATGGAAGGTCTTAATGGTCTTAGTACTGAGTATGAGCTCTTTCTGGAAATAATGTACAAAGCAGTACGGGAGGTTTTCCTCTGTGGTAAAGTCGAGGATAATAACCTTGACACTGCATGATTGTATGACTTGAAACAGAAGTGAAAAAAAAATATACATGTATGTTAGAATGATTTGTGGCTTATGTTAATTACTATGACATTCTAATTTGTGTGAGAGTTATAAATAGAGATATACCTTCTTAAAGACATAGCTAGTCATAAGGCATAGCCAGTTATAAATTTGATACATAATGAAGCAGGTATTACGGTTGCTGAGATTTTTTTTCCTCCACATGCTGGATGTCTGTTTCACTTTAATACTATAAACTATTCACAAACTGTGCCAACAAATGAAATTGGGTGAACAGGCACTCAGTTTACACTAACAAAAACAGACAAACATGAACGTTTAGCCCCCCAATATCTCTGCACCAGTTCACCTTATGTTTCGGCTAAGGTTACGAACAAAGTGGAAAGATAAACACTATTGCTATCATGGCTGAGGTGAAATGAATATATATCTATGTACAGGCCTATAGTTTTAAGTCACTCGGTAAATAGGTTTAAGATCGCATTGTGTTATACAGGATTTGTTTTGCTTTGAATTTTAACACAGTCGTAAAATTACGTTTCAGAGTGGCATATATTAAATAAATAAATATTAAAAAAAAAACGTGAATGTTTCATTTGACTAAACATTTACTGAAGGTGGAGAATATGAAAGTTAAGGAAGTGTATCCATATAGTATAATGTAAAGTACTTGTAAAATTTATGAGGTGTTAAATACGAACAAAATGATTTTTATAGTGTCTGACAGTATATGGTCATGTGCCGTCTTCAATCTATATGCTTGAAATATGCGTGCATTGGAAATATAAAGTTTAGAATATTACAGAGGATTGTTTAAAGCAGTTGACAAAGTAGTCGAAGTTTAGAAACGAGTCTAAAAATCATCGTGATATGATTAAATCGTAGTGAATGTGAAAATTGCCGATGGATTATGATTTACTGATTTACTCCTTCTTAAATGCAAGTTGATTCATCAAATGTACTCTAAGTCTAATAATAATAATTATATAAGTAATTGTGAAAAACAAAAAAACACACGTATACAGAAAGAAAAAAAATTTCCGATGATATATGGTATATGCTTGGTATATTTTGTCGTGGAGCTTAGATTTATTGATTCAGGAATAGCCAGCTTCTTTGTCATTAGTCCTTTATTTGTGAATCTACTCTTGACACATATATGAGGCAGTCGAAACAGTAAAATTGTGATACTGATTTTGTGTGCGTCATTCTCTGTTTTTTCTATCTCGTTACGTCAAAATTTATATAATTTTTACAAGTATTATTCTGAATTGAATGAATTTTTCTCTAATGATATTAATAGAGGAGTTAATATTTTATTAGTGTATATGAAAACATGGATATAAAGTCAGAACCAGCGGCTCCTGTTATAGGCACAAGTCTGTCTTCGTCGTGTTACATGAACACCATGTTCCTCGGTGGTAATATTGAAAGTAAAGATGATAGGGGACCGTCCCTCGGATATTGGGACCGATACCAACCTTTGTCAAGGTATACTTCCTGTTAATTCTGTTACAGCATTTCTTTAATTTTTCTTTTCTAATTTTCTTTTACAATTCTTATTTTTTTCATTTTATGCAAACTGAATTTTTTTTTTTTTAAATTTTATGTCCAAGGTTTAATTTCAGTTTTTGTATTTTTGTTTAATTTTCTTTTCAGTTTCTTTTGGTTTGTGTTGTTGTTTATTTGTTGTTTTTTTTGTCTTGTTCTTGTTGTTTTTCCTTTCAAAGTAGTAAAATATTTAATTTTCTATCAACCATCTAGAATGAGAAAACAGTGATAGTAACTTTGCTTCTTTTTTTTCTTTCAATATTTCTTCTTTTTTTTTTTAATGGAAAAGTTTTGTTTTCTAATTATTTTTACATTTCTTTATATTAGTTAAAGTTAATGAAAAATCTTAGCAACTGTAAAAATGTGAAAAATAATTATGAATAAAAGCTATAGGTAGTTTTAAGACTGACACAGTTTTAAATTTTAAAGGAGAATTATAGATTTCAATATCAAAAATACAAAAATTGAACTGCCAACAGTATTTTAAGAGCTTGTTAATGCAGACTCCATACATATGTGATGGTGGTGTTGGTAGTTTACCCGCAGTAAACCACTTTGAATTTACCAGAGCACAGTTCAGCCACTGCATCATTTAGAAGCAGACTAGTACTAGTGCCTTCACTTTATCAGCAAACTGATAACTAAAAATTTTGTCCATGCCAGAGCCGAGGTACAGTGCAAATGACCGTAGAAAAGATTTCATGATAGGGCACAATATAAGTGACCCGCACCCTGCGGGAATCTAACTTTAATAAGTCTGGTCCTGATTCACAGTCTCTACCATTTTGGCTAACCAGATTGTGCCTACTGCACATATGTGCAGACTAGCCTAGTTTTATAGTGGTATCAAAACCTAGTGGTATCAAAAGTTAATGGTATCAAAACCTAGTGGTATCAAAAGCTAGTGGTATCAAAAGTTAGTGGTATCAAAACCTTATAAGTACCAGGTATCAAAACCTAGTGGTATCAAAAGTTAGTGGTATCAAAGGCTAGTGGTATCAAAAGTAAGTTGTAGCAAAAGCTAGTGGTATCAAAAGCTAGTGGTAGCAAAAGCTAGTGGTATCAAAACCTAGTGGTATCAAAAGTTAGTGGTATCAAAAGCTAGTGGTATCAAAAGTAAGTTGTAGCAAAAGCTAGTGGTATCAAAAGCTAGTGGTAGCAAAAGCTAGTGGTATCAAAAGCTAGTGGTATCAAAAGTTAGTGGTATCAAAAGCTAGTGGTATCAGAAGCCAGTTTTAAAGTTTTACCAGGTTTAATATAATCTGACTGATCATGAAAAAAAATAACATTTAATTTCATCTCTCACATTTGACACAATCAACAAGGATAAATGGAAAAGAAATGTCTATACGAAAATCATTTGCTCAACTAATGGCTATATATGTATTTAAATGATATGTATTTAAATGAATTTATAAATTTATGATTTCTCATAAATTTTGTTGTGTAATAATTGTATGTACATTATTGCAAGTGATAAAAATAAGTCAAACATGGTTATTCCTTATCAGATAGGCCTTTATGTAAATAATGTACTAAAATATAAAATCACTAAACATGTTATATAAGACTGTTTCATAATGTTGAAAGTATTCACAACTTTATATAAGTGTTTCATAATGTTGAAAGTATTGGTTGGCAGAATGTTGTGACAAAGTGTTGTTTTTTAACATCTCGGGTAAGGGTCAAATGGGGAATTGGGAGGAGAATGGTTTGATTTTTTGATCATTGTCTTTAATTTAAATCAGTGATTGTTACCTTTAATGTTTCGTTGAATTATTTTTTGGTTCATTATAAGTAGTTACATAGTTTGTAATTTTAGTTTTTTGTGTGTACTTCAGGTTTAAAGGCGACTTAAATTTGTTTGACTCGGACTATTATATTAATGCTCCAGGTTTGAATTGTTACCTATATCAGCCTGCAACATTGAGTGTTTATATGCCCTTACTTAGGGGGCATAAAAAATTTGCTTTGGTTGTCCTGTCATTAACCTGCTTGTCCTAAGACTGACAAAACAGCAGAATCATGGGGGTGGGGGCAGGGGATGGGGGATCTGTACCCTATGGATGGACACATTCCTATTTGAATAACAAGAGGGATTGAATCATTCTAATCCCCCACTGTGTATGTTTTGTATGAATATAATATGTTTCCTTGGTAACACAGCAGGCGATTATTATTTTCAAATCTGTAACAATGTGATGTTATGTGGTGTATGAAATTATAGATTATTTTTCAGTTCTTTCTAAATTTTAACCCAAATCTTAAGCTATTAACTGGAGAGAAAAACAGAGATGCCACTAAATTTTTGTGGTTTTGGCAGATTCAGATTTGGGACCCCAGTGAAAATGCTAATGGGCTGATCTGAATTCATTTTTTAAAAGCAACTCATAGAAAATAGTATACTATAATAAATCATGTGTGATAAAGCTATATAAATAATTCAGTTACATGAAATACCATTTCAGCAAGGTGTTGGTGAATGACATTAATTTTTAAACACAATTTTTAAACACAATTTTTAAACACAATGAACACTATATCATGTGTGCCGAGAGCCCAGTTTGCTTGCAGGCACACTGTCCACTCCTGCATTTGCCTTCGAGCCATTTTGCTGAAAATACAGAAGGGAAGTTTAATCAGGTCTTAAAAACCCTTCAACTTATACCAGATCCAGGCCCGCGAGCACATTGGCATATTTGTGCAGTCCTTTTTAAAAAAAATCCCCTTACCAGAGCTAATTATTAATAGCAGGGCACACAGGTCCAGCCCTACTGGTTTATGGTAACAAATTCCATGAATTTCAAACAAACTCGATTTTGATTTAGATTCAGTGTAATCAGTGAAGTTATTTACTGTAATCAGATTGTAAAATGTTTCTACAATAATGCTTTTCCTACAACGAAAAAAGCAATCTTTCAGGTGCACCTATAAACGCAATTTTCATGAGAATGTTAACTGTTAAGTAGATAGATGCACTTTATAAATCGTATTGCACGAAAATAGTTCAGATCGTTACCTTTCGTTTCGTTGTTGTTCAAATTATTTTGTTCTTTTCTTTATGATATGCCCTGCAGTAGATTCTACTCTGATTTAATTATTGTTTACTGTGTAATAAAGTATGCTTATCTTGTTGATTTTATTATAATTGTAAAAAGTCGCTTCCAGCATCAGTTCAATTATGAAAGGTTACGACACTCGTCAATTCTCGGGTTCAAAGTGTTTTGTTGTTATTTTTTCCGTGTGTCAATAGCGCTAATTAATTCTTACCATGCTCAATATTTTAACCGGACTTGTCCATCTTTCAATCAGGACAAAAAGCATTTATCATTTTTTAGGGTAAATTTTATATTTCGTGCTGTCAGACATTAAAAAAAAAACCCACAAAATGTGTGGACCATGACATTGCTCTGCACTGGTCTGGCAGATAAATTCAGCTTGAGATTCATACATTATAAATAAGTTATGTATACATACATTATGTAAGTAGGATTCAATGATTTTATTTCTCATGCTAAACGAGTTTGGTTTTGATCTGGTTCGGTTTTGAAATTCCACCGACACTATTGTGGTCACAGTATTGGCAACTTTCCAGCTAAACACCTCTGTGGTTTAAATTATACCAGTGAAAATGGTGGGAGAACTGATCTTCTATGGTTGGTGCACTGATGTCTTCGATCTGTGTGCAAGCATGGGTGGTTCTCACATGAAAGAAAAGTAAGAATGTGCCGGAATTAGAAGCGTGGTCTATTTCAGTAAAAATGGTCGGAGCACTGATCTTCTAATGTGCAGACATGGGTGGTTGAATTATAAGTAAGATCATGACAGAATTAGAACCAATTACAGTTGTGAGGAATCTGGCGACAAATTTGGCTGATATTTTATTTTACACTCATAATTTTGCTCATAACTGTGTATTACATGATAAGATCTTCCTTACAATTGTTTTCTAAGTGTTGTGCACATATTTAATTCATTAACCTAAATGGACATGTGTTATATGCCTGACATATGTAACATTCTTGTAACCTTGGATAAGTGTGTATATACAAAAATGGATATTAAATATAGCTCAATGTAATTTATGTTGTCATTTTAAGCTAGTTGAATATTTTTATCACACCACGTCTCTGAGTCTTTCAGTTTAATGTATAATCATTATCTATTTTTGTCATGTTACACATGTTTGCTATAAAATGCCATGTATTGTTGTGCCAGTTAAACTTTACAAAACAAACAAACAAAAACTAAAAGTCATGTTGACGTCAACAACAATGATGTTATAATTGATGACATGTTTCAATAAATAGCAGGGATTATTGGCATGCGAGCAGTTCCCGTACAAAAATCGTAGTGACTTAAACATTATTTTTTGTTACGCTCACTCACCACAATTTGAATGTTACACATCAATATTCAGCTCGTCACACAAATCATGGAAATTCCATCATGTTCTAAACATAGTATAACCCTTAGTTATGAGGCCTCATATGGGGTACCGAAATTATCCATTATTTTGTATGAAGAGAAGTAGTTCCCGTACATAAAATCTAACCCATTATAATTATACAACTTTATTATATCGGACCTATTTTTCATTTACAATTGTTGAACAGACCATTATCTAAGAGATAAATAGATGTAATTCAGGAAATAGAGCGTAGACTAAACGCGGGTATCAATTACCCGGTACCGTTACCCCAACGCATTCACATGCAATAGCATACTTGTATGCATTATATTTTACGCATCAAAGCCATAAAATTATTATATATAGTAATATTGGTCAACATTCTGATAATTAAACAAGTTTACATTACATTGCCTACTTATTTGTAAACAGGTGGTATTAGTGGAAAACCCTTTAACAAGCCTCACGTGTAAGTATTTTTGCGCATGCGCACAAGGACGGAATCCCCCAGAGAAAACAAGGTCACGTT